TAACCGAAAGTATAAAAAATACACTATTTATTTATCGTCATACCAGAAGTCCCAAGACCCCCCGAGTTAACAATGACCGACCCCCTGTAACATATAATTGATAAGATTCTTCCAGGGAGGAAACTTAAAGGAATGTCCATTCTATTTGACTGTTCAATGTGATATATTAATAAAGAATTGAACTTGTAATATGAGTAAGGATATGAAAGATTAGAGGGGTTATTGTTCCTATTTCCGAAGCTAAGGAAGCTTAATCATAATGTCATATTCCATATTAGTAAATAGGAATGATCCTGGGAGTTTAATTCATAAAAGGCTATGCAGGGCCTCGATGAATATGGCATTCCCCACCTTTGTGTACTTGATCGGCATTGAAGTCTTTGATTTTAATCAGAATTTACTTCGTAATATATAGAATGTCACTTATATATTCCAGGGAGGGTTTATTTTACTGTTCTATGAGAAGAATCCCCTGTGTCCTTAATATCCCTTTTCATTATGTTTCTGACCGATTAAAGAGGCAATGTAATTAAGAATGTATTGACCGATTCCCTAAGTAATCCTATTTAAATCTTGGTTTCGTAACATTTCGGGAATTTTTTAGTGTTTCGGTTTGGGCCCGTTATTATTATCATCCATTTTGTTAACTTTTTTTTTTTAAATATAATAAATATCTCTTTAATTTGCATTATTTTGCGAAGATATAACTTTAAGAATTGATGATAAATAATCTACAGTAATTAATATATATGATTAAGGATGCCTTTGTTGTATCCTCATACCTTTATAATTCCTTGTCGCATTATTTTTTTATCTTCCTTATCAAATATAGAGGAATATTTCTTTATTGATAATAGAATCTGAGGTAATTATTGAGAAATTCCATCTAATTACAAAATATTTTTATTAATTTTCTTATTGTATTTATTTGTACAGTGGTGCACAAAGTGCGTTAGGTAAAACGAGTCATTTGCACCCGACTTAGGTTATAATTCATCAATTATTCTTTTTGTCTCCATCGAATGAATTTTGGTTCATTTATATTGGTTAGATTTTCTGTTATTAAGTCAAGTAGCTAAAAATGTTCTATTATTGGTTTTTTGCCTGTTTTGTTTCGCAACAGAATATATATGAATTTTAGATATTTACTTACCTGATTTTTTATAATTTACTAAGTTTTTAATTAGTAGTTATTTTATTCAAGGAATACTCTATTTCATGAAGGAATTAGAATAAATCAATTGATTTAACGTTGGTTTTCTCATTTGTTTCTGGAGACTGCATATATAAGTTTAATGTTAAAAGACATTATATGTATATATAGTTATCGAATCAATACCTAGGTAATTATATATATGCGAAAGCTTTAGTGGCATAGGAGGTGATCTAACAAAACGAAAAAGAAGATGGAAAATTAGGTCTACAAATCGAAACAGGAATAGGCAGCAATAAAATTCCTAGTGAGAGGTAACTAGCTCTAGGTCATAAGAAGAATAAATGAAGGAACCAATGAGACACTACTGAGTGACTTAGGGGACTCACTTCATGATAAATATTCTGAAATAATTAATTTCTCCTGAAGGAATTAGATTTGAAATAATAAAAATAGATATCCAATAATGAATGATGAATAGATAACAATAAAACAACAAGGAACCAATAGTTGACTTTCACCCCCAAAGTAGTATAAAATAATATATCACAACACCAACAGAATCAAACAAGTCGACCGGTTTCCTACCTTGGATTTTTCCCCTATGAGGAAGATAAGACGTGTCATTTAGAGGAGATTGTATAAATCTAGAAGGTCATGGACAAGGGATAGGGATAGGGTAAAATAGATCAACACTCAAAATAGTACCCCAAACGATCTGTAATAAACCTAAGTGACAAGAACTGAGTATATTGGTATGACTTTAAGAACTAACAAACAAATATTGTGTCCTTCCCTAGGCTATCGAATTTACTAAAATAGCCGAAAATAAATCTTAAGCAGATAAGACAAAGAGATTGAAGGATCAATAGGGGAGAAGATCACCAAAATAATTCCCTAAATCGTGTTTAACCCTCGCTGCGTGGAACTTCTAATAGAAAAATCCAGAATAGTCTTAGAATGAGGACAAGGAGCCAAGATAGGAGGACTGAATGTCGGGTGCTGCCTAACAATCTTTGGGACAAAATAGCAGAAGACACATTACCAGGAAACATCGAGGAGTGGCTTCGAATTGCAACTCCAAAACAAGAGAAGGATAAGATTATAGTAGTAGTAGTCTCAGACTATCTATATAGTCAGAAAACCAAGGAACAGCCCATAAAGGAGGGAAAACCTCGTTCAGCTAAAGTAGAAAGGCCAAAGTCTATTCCCATAAGGAAAAGAAGGATAAGATAGAAGGAGGAATGGTTAGACCCAGATGAGACCGGTCAAGTAAATTTATTCAAAGAATCTCCCAAAGGGGGATTAATTAATATAATGGACAAACCCTGGATAGGATTTATCCTCTTGAATATTTTATCCCAATCGGGGAAAGTCCCCGCATCATGGAAGTAAGGTGATGAGTAAGGTCATAGAAGAATGAAATATAGGAAGGTAGATGCTGTTTTATTTCTTACAAATGGTGATTGATATATTAGTGAAATGATAACCTCTATCTATATATTAGAGTGATGATTTCTTAGTTGGGTCCAACAAAACTCTAAATTGTGTTAATATGTGTCCCTTCTTCAGTTTTATTAGTATGTTTGTCCCTTAATTATTAGTGGAACACCGACTGTATGGTTGTAACAGGACTTAAATTGTCCGAAGTGATATAGTCGATAGAAAGATTCACTTCGCAAAATTATATGTGAAGGAGCGTCTTTATCAGGAAAAGACTGATTCCTGAATCAAAAAATCGGCTCACTCTGCTATGACCTGGTCTCTGTTGGGATGTCCTTACCTTATAAGGACTGGTAAAGACGGAATAACCCCTGGAGAAGGCGGAGCAGTTCCATTTCGAAGTTAGACGAGTTGTTGTTTTATCGTTTTATTTTGGTTTGTCACCTCGACGAAGGAAAGTTAACCCCTATGAGATCGTGTCTTCCTCATTAGTAGCGTGGAACAAGTACCCCCATTAGAGTGTTGTCTTATAAGTAGGTTATAGGAGTACCTCCATCTAAGGGGTGACCAACAAGCCATCAATTCATCATTTGTTACATGTGTTGTAAGTTGTCACTTCGGATTATTATCATGGTCGTGGTGGGGTATTGTCGAAAAACAAGGGTGTATGTAAAGGGCCAACTGATAAATGAATCATTACGTACTCACTGTATAAGTATTTTGATAAATTCAGGTGACCCCCCCGCATTACACTAAAGGGAAGGTCAGATGAATAATATCGAAGCCTATTATCCTAGTAGGAGTAAAACTACTGTTCTCCCGGTCTAACGTTAAACCACAAATGGATAATTAGCGGATTATTTAGCAATGAACAATCCGATATGAAGGAGTAATTGACATTTGAATTTAACTAAAAAGCTTTTGTAGGATAAGAATATTTGGCAGGAGGAAGGACCAACCATTTTCCAGCCAAGTGAAAATATCCAAAAAGTTTATAGGTAAGAGATAAATTGACTCCCGACTAAAGAGCGACTGATTCCCCATGTTAATTTTATTAAGGGAATTTACACGATGAGAAATATTTCAGGCAAATAAGAAAGATACCTGATTTATCTGTTTAATATTGTTCAAAAAATCCTAATCCCAACAAATAGTTAACCGAAACTAGAAAAGAAAGATTTTTGCCCGGATTAATATTGTTTCAGAAATTATCATGACAAATCGTAATGAAAAAATCAAGCAAGGAAGGAACATTCCCCCCCTTTAATTTTATTACATATATTGCTATACCAAAAATAATTCCCCCAAAAGAAAAAGGCAAGTTTTCCACGCGGGTAATTTTATTACATATATTGCCATAGCAGAAATAATTCCCCAAACAAAAAAAGGCGAGTTTTCGACGCGGGTAATTTTATTACATATATTGATATAGCCCAAATAATTCCCAAGAAAGAAAAAAGGCAAGTTTTCCACGCGGGTAATTTTATTACATATATTGAAGTAGCCGGAAAAATTAAGATGACCAAAACAAATCAGTGTTTCCTCCGCTTAAGATTATTGAAAAATTTCACGGGCCAAGAACTTGTTAAAAGAACATGGAAAGTGAGAATTTTTCCTACGTTTAATTTTATTCCAAACACTCCTATAGCAGGCAATTAATTGAAACGAAGAAGGAAGCGAAAAATGTTCCGCGCGAAAGATTTTATTCCATAAGAACCTTTGGCAAGGAGCATTCAAGGAAAAAACAGGCAACATGATGTTTGATTTGATGAATTGTATTACCCGCCTCCAAATGGCAACAAAAAAATAACCAAATGGCCAAGGGGCAATTTACCATACGGTTAATTTAATTCCAAAAAATTTAGGGTCCCAAAATGATGAACAAAAATTGGAGGAAGTTATGTGCAAATTGAATTGCGTATGAATCATGAAAACTCCAAGGAACAACGAGACAAAGGAAAAACAGGCGCCTGATCAGACAGTCTAATCTTATTGGAAATGTTCCAAATACAGCCAAATTAAACGAAAATGACCAGACAAATATTCAGTACATGTAAATTAATTCCGTGAATTCGGGTGCCAAGGAAATAGTAAGGAAACCAAGAAATCACATGTTCAACTCATTTAAGATCCTTCAGAATAATTACCGGTGGATGTAATATTTTGCCCACATAACAAGGGAGGGTAGTTTCACAGGTGTAATGTCATTCCAGAAATTTGTGTGCAAGAAAATGATTAACAGAATAAAGAAGGAATAAATGTTCAACCCCTTTAGTTTCATTCTGAATAATTACCAACAAAGGTAATATTTCCCAAACAAGAGAAAGAAAAATAATTACACACGTGTAATATCATCCCCAAAATGTGTGTGCAGGGAAATAATTGACCAAATCGGAACCCCCCGGATGTTCCCCCCATTTATTGTCATTCTGAATAAATACCAGAGGAGGGAATATTTTGCACACAGGAAAAAGAAACCTAATTTCACACGTGTAATGTCTTTCCCAAAATGTGTATGCAGGGAAATAATTGAACAAATGGAAAAGGAACGAATATTCCACCCCTTTACTTTCATTCGGAATAATTACCAGACGGGGACAAATTTTGCCCACAGAAAAGGGAAAAATAATTTCACACGTGTAATGTCAATCCAAAAATGTGTGTGCAAGGCAATAATTGAAAGAATGACAAGCGACCCAATGTTCCAACCCTTTAGTGTGATTCGAAATAATCGGCAGAAGGAAAAGAATTGTGCCCGCAAGAAAAGGAGAAATAATTTCACAAGTTTAATGTCATTCCAAAAATGTCTGTGCGAGGAAATAATTGAACAAATGGCAAGCAACCCAATGTTCCACGCCTTTAGTGTCATACAAAATAATTACAGCATGGGGCAACATTTTGCACACAGGAAAAGCAAAAATCATTTCACCCGTGTAATGTCCTTCCAAAAATGTGTCTGCAAGGAAATAATTGAACCAGGGGCAAGACACCCACCGTTCCACGCCTTTACTTTCATTCGAAATAATTAGCAGAAAGGGACAAATTTTGCCCACAGAAACAGGGACAATAGTTTCACAAGTTTAATGTCATTCCAAAAATGTCTGTGCGAGGAAATAATTGAACAAATGGCAAGCAACCCAATGTTCCACGCCTTTAGTGTCATTCAAAATAATTACAGGATGGGGCAACATTTTGCACACAGGAAAAGGAAAAATCATTTCACCCGTGTAATGTCATTCCGAAAATGTGTGTGCAAAGAAATAATTGGACAAATGGAAAAGGAACGAATCTTCCCCCCCTTTAATGTCATTCGGAATAATTACCAATCGGGCAAAAATTTTGCCCACAGAAAAAGGAAAAATAATTTCACACGTGTAATGTCAATCCAAAAATGTGTGTGCAACGAAATAATTGAACAAATGAAAAAGGAAGAAATCTTCCACCCATTTAATGTCATTCGGAATAATTACCAATCGGGCAAAAATTTTGCCCACAGAAAAAGGAAAAATAATTTCACACGTGTAATGTCATTCCCAGAATGTGTGTGCAAAGAAATAATTGATGGAATGGAAAACGACCAAATGTTCAACCACTTTAGTGTCATTCAGAATAATTAAAGGATGGAGCAAAATTTTGCCCACAGGAAAAGGAAAAATAATTTCACACGTGTAATGTCATTCCCAAAATGTGTGTGCAAGGAAATAATTGATGGAATGGAAGAGGAACCAATATTCAACCCCTTTACTTTCATTCGAAATAATTACGAGACGGGGCAATCTTTTACACCCAAAGAAAACGGCAGATAATTTCACACGTGTAATGTCAATCCCAAAATGTGTGTACAAGAAAATAATTAAAGGAATCCAAAGAAAGAGGATGTGAAACCCATTTAGTGTCATTCCGAATAGTTACCAGACAAGGCAATATTTTGCCCACGAAAACCAAGGAAAATGATTCACTGGTGTAATGTGATTCCAGAAATGCAGGTGCGGGAAAATAATTAAACAAATCCCAAAGCAACAAATGTTCCCCCCATTTAGTGTAAATCTAAATAATTACCAAAGAGGGCAATATTTTGCACACAAAATCGAAGGGGGATGATTCACTGGGGTAATGTGATTCGAAAAATGCGGTTGCGGAAAAATAATTAAACGAATCCGAAGACATCCAATGTTCACCTCATTTAGTGTCATTCTGAATAATTACCAGAGAATGCAATAGTTTGCACCCACACGCAATAATGTTCCAATCGCGTAACCTCATAAAAGAAATTCCGTGGCAAAAAAATAGTTAACGTAATGGAAAAGGAAGGAGAATTCAACCCCATTCGTTTCACTAAAAGTAATTACAGTGCGAAAGTAAAGGAAGAAAAAAAAGAAGAGAAATTTTTTCCGCGATTAGTGTAACTCCAAATAATTAGAATGTGTGCGTTATTTTACACAACAACAGCGGCAAATGTTGCACTCTTGCAACTTCATTCCAAATAATTACGAAGAGAACAATATTTTGCACACAGCAAAAAACAACTGTTTCCACAATTTAATATCATTCAAATTAATTATCAATCGGAAAATATTTAGCAACGCAACGAAAAAATTTGTTTAGCCGGATTAGTGTCATTCCGAATAATTACGGAGGGGGGAGTATTTTGTACAGAACAAAAAACAACTGTTTACGCAAATCCATCTTATTCCAATTAATGATAAAGCAAAGAAGATTTTGGGAACTAAAAAAAGGAGGTGTTTAACATGATTAGTGTCATTCGAATAAATTAAGACGAACAAAATCTTTAGCGACTCTGTAGGAAGAAGGGTTTAACGAGATTAGTGTTATTTCAAATCTTCCAATAGCAGGAAATAATGAGTCCGAAAAAGGAAATTAGGACTATTTCTTCCAGAAAGCCTAGAAGGCCAAGGAATTCCCAGTCAACAAATCGACTCCCAAAACTAACAAAGAATGAATTGAGCAGTATGATGTGTATCCAAGTAACAAAAGAAGGTCTTCGACTCAAAGAACCAGAGATTACCTTCCCTTTCCCAATGTGGCTGGATCGAAAAAAACAGGAAAAAGTATCTGAACAGCCGACAGAGGATCCGATATCCCCGTCGAAGGTTAGTGAGAATAACTGTTAGAAACAAATTGAGACGAAGAAGAGTAATGAATCCTTCAATTCTTCTGATGCGAAAAATTTGACAAGCAGTGGTTACTGTCTTTAGCGGAGGAGAAGGTATATCCCAGGAGAACTATTATTTCAAGAAATTTCAAGGAGGCCTTTGGAACGATGAAAAGAAAAACGAGATGTATTCCACTTGTACGTTTATTCTAGGATTATACCGAAGAGTCATTAATTCTCCTAAGAAGAAGAGGCAGGATGGAATTTATTATGTTGCAGATTTTATTGACATCGGACAGCCTAAACCCTCTTAACAGTAGGTTGATGACTAATTTCATGGGGACAACGAATAGAAAAAACTACATGTTGTTTTATTTTTTACAAATGGTGATTAATGTTATAATGGGTAATTACCGTATATCTGTATATGACAATGATTATTTTTTACTTGTGTCCATTGATTGTCCATATGAATAGATATTTCGTTATGCATGTTTTAAACAGCTAAAGGAACAATTTTTTCCGTGAAAATAGGTTCCCAAGTACTGAAAGATTGAATGACATCTAGGAGTCTGATAATGAAGCCATCCGGTCTTATCTGTTCAACGTACGATAGGGTTAAGGTATACATATAAGGTTTAGGGTTGAAAAATGACCCCTACTATTATAAACTCCGTCCCAACCCTGTGAACACCGTCAAATATAACCTTGAACCGCCCCCTAAGTATGCAACTGGATGCCCTAAAGGGTTACAACCCCCGTAGGATGACATTCCTTCAATATGTTATTTCTGTCCCGAACAATATGTTATGTGTTCCAATGGGTCCAAATTTAGTCTGCATTGTATTAAAATGTGTACCATCTTCCGTTTTATGAGTCTATTTGTCCGTCCATTATTAATGATTCCACCCATGTATGGTTGTTAAAGGACTTAGATTGACCCAACTGAGGTAGTCAATAGGAACATTCTAACCCCATAATTAGATGTAAGGAAGCGTCTTAAACAAGGAAGAATTGATCTATGAGTCAATCTATGGAATCGAACAACTTTGACTACATCCATGTTGGGATGTCCCTTCCTTCTAAGGAGTGGTACCAACAGAATGACCATTAACCAACCAGAAGAGGTCCAATTTCGGACTTAGAGGAATTGTCATTTTATCACCTAGGATTGATCTGTCCCCTCGGAAAAGAGGAAAACCACCCCCTGAAAGGGTGTCCTTTTCCTTAGTAAGGTGAAACAAGCCCCCCAATTATAGGGTGTTGTCTTATAAGTAGGTTATAGGAGTACGCCCTTACAAGGGGTGAACTGGGACAATCATTTCATCAACCATTAGATTTGTTCTATATTTCGATCTACATTTATTAGTAGCGTCACGGAGGTGCATTATCAGGGAAAAGTTGTTGGTATCAAAATTAAAGTGACCCAAATATCCAACCCCCCAACAACTATGAATAGTAAGGGGGAGTGGACTGAGAACCATGGATTAGGCAACCAGGAGAAGTTGTTTTTTGTCAAAAAATTTGATGAACCCCGGATTTAGATTGACCCTTGAGAGGGTTGTTTTGCAATGGCATGTGTGTAAATTGAACAACAACCTATAACATCAACCTATATAAGGAATGAATAGCCAGTAGACAGATTATGTACCCAAGAAGGGGGTGTTGACAATAAAGATTGGACCCATGAATAAGGATAGAATAAACCTATATAGGATGTTAGAAAGAGTCATTTTGGACTCCCCCTTTCTATAGTGGTGTGATTAAGCGAAAATTAGGAAGTTGTCTGACAATCCATTTTTGACCCCCCCAAGGAGCACCCCAACCTAAGTCGTGGTATTAGACTAGTGGTAGAGAGGGTCAAAAAAGAAAGTTTTGAAATTCGGGTTTAGAGTGGTTGAATCATCATTAGACACGTATATTATGAGTTTTTATACCGGTTTCGAAGTCATATCTGGATTAGGTGGAAAAATTTGAGGGGGTCATAACATCGTCCTATATTATAGGGGAGGGACTGTGAAGAAGGAATCAGCCTTCGTCTAACAAGAGTTACCATGAAAAGGATGAGTAGTGTCACCCAGAATTAGTGAATCCGATGGAAGAACTGTTCTAATTCCGGGTTTAGAGTTGTCTTTTGTTTCTTGTCTAATGAATCAACAACTATTAGGATGTGTGCATCAGAAGTACGAAGAACCAGTACTAAGGGGGGAGTCTTCCTTTGATAAGAGATGACATC